TACTTTTGATCCAAACTACAAATTGAATAAAGCTCACACGTTCCATTATATAATGTATAGGGCTTTTTGCATATGCTTTTTACCTCCATAATTTTCTTTGTGGTGGTGTACGTTGGTCCTGTAGTACTAATAGAAAATGTCACTTGAATAGGATCAGTGCCAATAATGTTATCATAACAAAAAGGTAATTCGTAGTAAAATTCTGGATAATTTTCATTATTGTTTTCTGCATAAGAGCAACAGTACTCACTACAAGTATACTCCTGGTAATTTTTATTTGCTTTAATAGTTACATTGGTGCATGTAAAATCATCACACACTTCTAACTGGTTTTTCCAGTAAAATATTTCACCTCTACAATTGGTGACGTTAGCTGTGAATTTAAAATGTTCACAATTACATGCATCATCATCATATAAGTTATCAACTTCATCTGGTGGGCAGCGTAATGATGAATTATTAATAAATTCAACATTTAAATTCAGAGGACAATCGTCATATTCAATTGCTGATGGCAAACAGTCACAGTTAGGAACTGTGATGCTAGTCTGTTTAGTTTCATTCTTCATGCTAATAATACTAACATTGTTACTTATTAGTTGTTGTTCTAGTACAGTAGCTGTGTAAGTACCAGGTGAAAGGTATATAATAATACCTGACTCATTGCCTCCTCCTCCTCCTCTTTGTACAGCAGTAGATCTAGCAGATGCTCCTTGTATAGCTAGATCAAGAGTAGCACAAGGTGTTTGAACTCCTCCAGTCCAACAAGAGGTATTGATACCATCAGATGAACTGACATAGATATCAGCAGCAGCAGACAAAACAGGAGAAAGAAATAGCAGGAAAATTGCAACAAAGAACATGATGATAGATAGCAAAGACGGATAGCTAGGGGTGTAAATTACGCCCACAGAATTTTCTGTATAGTGGGCGTCATGGCATGCTGTGGCATGAATAATTTTTCAACAAAATTTATGTAGAAAAAAGCTAGTACAAAATTAACCAAAAAATTATAAACTTGAGTTAGTATTAACAGTTTTATTATTATTGATGCTACCATGATTTGCAGCAACAGTATTGTCTTGAGAATGTTCCACTGATAAATCATCCAGTCTAACATGAACATACAATCAGCAATCCAATCTTTAACTAATTGCTGATTTTCTTGTTCTTATCATTAGAGGATTGCTCATTTTAGTCAACTGATTTGGATTTAAAGTTAACGTAATTTTTCTTATTTTATAATTTATCTTTGTCATTTCTTGTGGTACTAATTAGGTTTTATTTTGGTCTCAACATGTTTCTTTCATATTAGTTGGTATTATTGTCATTACATCAATAAGAGGTCTACTAATCACTCTCACTAAAGTATAGCTATTATTATCTCATATACTTTTTAATGAGACCTTTTTGTAGTTTTTCTATGCCATTGCAAGCAGCAAGTCTTCAAATGCTATTGTCTTATGTCTAGCAGAAGTTATGGTATGTTAGTACATACAGTAGCATTGATACATACCTTGATTATATCATTGTTATAGGGTATGTATTTCGTGTCGTCAGTCCTTCTAATGAGAATGAATGTTCCAGAAGAGTATAGGTAACTGTGTTAATAAAAATTAAGGCTCTATATCTATTCTTTATTTTGAAAGGACTATCATCATGAGAGTCTTAGGGCAGCTTGACTTCAGTTTTTATCATCGTTGGTTTGATGTTATATTTTTAGTGAGTTCAACAATTTAATGCTGTTTTTTATATTGCTCATCAGCAGTCATCAAGTAAAAGAACAGGATAACGCATGCATATAGTTACCAATGATTTCTTAATATTATTTTAGTTATTCAATTATTTTATTACCAAGAGTACATCTTGGTATTACTGTCCAGATAGTGTATAACTTCAAAATTTTGTCTGTCAAAAATCAAAATTGTTCTGTTGTCAAAATTAGCTATTTTGTTCATACAGAACAGCAAGTTAGTGAGCAAAATTTTGCCAAAAAATAATTTTGTCAAATAATACACTTGTAAAATTTTTGTTTGCAGCTATACAGTAGTAAGCCAGTGTTGTAGTTCAGTTCACTAATAGAATGCAGCAGAAATAAGTTATTTTTTAACAAAACCACAATATAGTAGCTACAAAAATAAATGGAAAGCAGTACAAAATTAGCCAAATAGTTATAAAATTTAGTCGTCAGTACGAATAGTTTTATAAGCATCGATGCTACCATAATTAGCAGCAACAGTATTGTCTTGAGGATCATATTCTACTGGTAAATCATCCAGTCTAATACAAACATGCTGCTCATCATATTCTTGTGGATTCTCCATACGATCAGCAATCCAATCATCATCGTTATCAACTAATGGCTGATCTTCTTGTTCTTGTATTCTAATGGTGTCAAAATGTCGCCGGCGATAGTCATCACAATGAACCAGTATCTGACATAATTGATATATCATATAGATTAGTAATATAAAAAATAATAGACAATTGAAAGATAAAATGAGCACACTTCCATCAAAAAAAAGATTCTCAGTAAACTCAAGTAAGTCATATTTTAGATTGACAAAAATGTAATAAGTAAATAAAATAGCTACAAAAACTAAAACTAGTGTTTCACAAAAATTATGAATATTTCTTTGGAAAGGACGAAAAATAAGAACCATTAAAGCAAGTAATAAAACTAAACAACATTGCAGTATTGAAGCTATAAAGAATGAAGATCCAGGCCACATGAAAAAAACCAAAAACTGACAAAAAAATATAAGTATCCTCAATAATAAATAGAATCCAGCAAAGAAACGATAGTCAAAAGTATTCTCAGTTCCATTCTTATAAGGACCAGTAAACACATCACCCAGTGATATCAGTAGCTGTTTCCTCAAATGTAAGCAATCTAATAACTTATGAAACCATTTGAATCGATAAAGGAGTAAATAAAGTGTAGGCAAGAGTATCAGAAACAATAAAATTATGATAGCAAAAATACTAGCCAATATATGATAAATACCACCAAAATAAGGCTGTTTTGCATCATAAAAAAAATATAAAAAATATTTGTCAGAAAACTCAGAATACTGAAAACGAAAACGTAAAATTTTGAAGGAATTAGCAGCCAAAAGAGTGAAGCAGAGTATATATATAGATGCTATAGAGTGAGTAAAAGATGGTTCAATGCCAGTCATACTCCAGAAACGAGCCATACAACGATGAAATGGTCTAGTAATAAATACTACACACTTGTAACCTTTATCATACAATGTTATCCAAACATAGAGTAAGAGGAGAAGGAGCAATGGATAGAATCCTACCACATACCAAAAGGGGATTGCTCCTAATGGTGACATGTGAGGAGTAATGCATAACGAATAGTTACCAAGAAATGGTGTGAAGTCTAAATTGAAGACATTGGAAGGTGAGACCCAGAGATCATACATTTGATAGTTAGTGTCACTGTTACTCAATAAATTATAATCCGACTGAATCACAAAAACTATTTGAGAATAGAAAACTAATCCATTAATTGATCCATTAGTTAATTGTATATTAAATGCTACTATTATTAATACAATGAGTGTCATAGGCAGTATTTCTATTCCAATGAAAACTAGTATACTTGATAAGTAATGATGGCAGCTAACACATTGTTTAATTTTATTAATAGGAACTCCATTACCAGAAGGACAAATAGGACAAAAAATTGATAAGCTAGCATTATATTTACACACTGGTTTGTCACAACAATATGAAGCAGAGCAACTCACTGTATTACAATAAGGGCAATACTTTTGATTTGAACTACACGTTGTAGGATAAAACCACTTCCTTGTTGCATCCACGGTTATATTAGTACTGAGTGTTATTAGTCCTACAGTACTAAAATATAATGTTATTTCAGGTGTTTCAATGTTATCATAACAGAAAGAAGTTAGCTTATAACAATAATTTGGATATTCATTATCTGAATCACAGTACTGGTAGCTACCACAATCAAAAGTAGTACTTATATCTTCATCTGTGCAATAAAAAATTGAGTCAATGCATACTTTTAACTTTAAGTCATTTCTCCAGTCAAACTTTTTACCCCTACAATCAATGACAGTAGCTGTGAATTTAAGACACTCACAACCTCTTTCTTGTGAGCAGCGTAATGATGACTTAACTAATTCAACATTTAACTGGGGACAGTTGTATTCTACTGCTGCAAATGTATCAAAGTACTTGACTAGATGATTCGTACTAGATTTAGGAACAGTGATCCTAACTTGTTCACTTTCATTCCTCATGCTAATAATACTAACATTGTTACTCATTAGTTGCTGTTCTAGTACAGTAGCTGTGTAAGTACCAGGTAAAAGGTATATAACAATACCTGACTCATTGCCTCCTCCTCCTCCTCCTCTTGGCACAGCAGTAGATCTAGCAAATGCTCCTTGTATAGCTAGATCAAGAGTAGCACAAGGTGTTTGAACTCCTCCAGTCCAACAAGAGGTATTGTTGATACCATCAGATGAACTGACATAGATATCAGCAGCAGCAGACAAAACAGGAGAAAGAAACAGCAGGAAAATTGCAACAAACATCATCGAATCGATTCAAAGTGTATACACAATTAATAAGCTCACCATCCACTATTCAACTTTGTTGAAAGCAACTTTGTGGTTACTTTGATCTTAGGGCAACTCTGTTGCCTGAAATAGAACTCAGTTCTATTTCAGGCAACAGAGTTGACAGCACATCAAAGTAACCACAAAGTTGCTTTCAAGAAAGTTGAATAGTGGATGGTGGGCTTTACACATTACCAAGAAACTCGCCGGCATGGCACTTTTGAGTTTTCACTCTTTGACTTTGTTTTGGGTGATCTACGGACATGTCCTTAGTTTTTCCGTATACTTGAGCTAAGCGTTTCTATAGCTACAGCACAACAAAGAACTGAACATGGAGGATGAGTATGATGATGATGATTTTGAGGAAGAAAGACCATCAGGAGAGAGCAGTAGAGGACAATCACTTCACCACATAACCCCAATACATCACAGAACCGTTAGAAAAACAAAAAGTAAGACCACAGCACAAGGACAAGCCTAAACTCTCTATTTTATTAGAAATAACTCCACCTGGAAAGCAACAACAGAAAAAGAAAGTTTCAAAACTGAAAACAGATCTGTCTCCTCAGAGTAGACTCCTCTCATCAAAAGACCATGAGATCAGGAAACTAAGAAATCAGTTACTGGATGCACAGCGTTCATTAAAAGAAACCAGAAAAGAAAATACAATAATGAGGAGAACACAAGTGAGATAATGTTGAATTGACTTAGTTTACAATAGTGCTTGCATTTGGTGACTACATGATATTAAATTTACACAAAATGCTGTAAAATTAAAACCATGTTGTCCATTGTTCATACATATACATGTAGACATGTACACATAAAGGCGGATTTACAATATCACGCTAGTCCTGACGTTACGTTGATGCTGGAATAGAATCTGGTTCTATTCCAGCGGAAAGCATGCGTCAAAAGGTCAAATCGCCCACGTTTTTGATTAAAAATTGACGGTACGCTGGCCTAATGTCATATTGTAAATCCGCCTTAACTCTCTGTCTTTCAGGTAAGGATGGAGAAGGAGTTAATGTCACGCTCAAGACAAGAAGAGGACATACCAAACATATTGCAGAAGCACTCTGATGAAGTGAGGGCATTAAGAACGCAATTACAAAGGACACAAATTAACAATAACGAGTTAAAAAAACGTGTCAAAGATATTGGGTAAGAGAGAAGGAAAGAGGAAGGAACTTTATGTATATTTGCCATCAATGCAGAACTGAAATGTGGAAGTCACAAGAGCGAGTGAAGAAGCTTGATGCCATGGTTAAGAAACGTAACCTACCAGAAAGGGAACAGCTTGTGTTCCAGTTACAAGAGCTACAGGAACAACTTAAAACTGAAGAAGATAAAACAATTGTTAGTTAATATTTAGGTGTACACATAAATGCATAATAATGTAAAATGCTGTAGTAGCTAATTACTGTTCAATTGTGGTCCTTTTTATTCTTTTTTTCTCTTATAGAAATTGGATCACTCATTACAGTTGGCACAGAAGACATACTCACAAGAGATAAAGAATCTCCTTGGAAAGAACCACAGACTCACAGCACACATGGAAGAAATGAGAGAAGAAAACAGAGAAACAAGAAGAAAACTAAGAGTAAGCAAATAACCATTCATGTACATAGTATACATGTACATGTACATGCAAAGGAATTTTAATACAGTGTTTATTAGTGTAATAATTATAGTGTTAAATAGGTATACCATGTAGAGTAATAGGTATAAAAATGATATAATGTACTGTATGTGGTAAAATGTATTTTAAATTATGTCATTTTTATAGGAGAAGGAGAGATTGCTAGAAGTGACTAACATATACTCACAGCGAGTGCCAGGACAATCACAGAATAACTCACTGTCACTCCCTCCTATACCAGTCACTGATGAAATGAGCAC